AAACATGAATGTAAAGTAACCCTGCCTTTGTGCAGCATGGTACCTCACCGCGATGGGACACGCTAATCATGAGTCCCCATAGTGTAAAGGTAGTTTCTCTCCATATATTAGGCACACAGAGGCACATGGCAGGAACATTTACTGATGAGTCCTCATTAGCACAAACCGGTGTCCAGCTTGTACCACTTCTTCCAGCGCACGGCGAGTAGGCGTCAGCTGTACGTGAGACTTCAGTGTGTGAGCCGCGTGGTAATAGCTGGGGGAGTAGCGCGACTAACGCCGCCCAGTCCCCCGCGATGCGCACTCGTTGGCGACGTCCTCCGTTGTGTGGCCGGGGCGGCTGCAGGCGCTGCACCGTGCGCCAACTTCAGTGCCCCACTCGTGGGAGAGGCGAGCGCAGCGGCGGCGGTGGCGAGCGAGCGGTCGCTCTTCTGAAGCGGTCGGTGGAGCCACCGCCAGAGTGAACTTGACAGGACGAGGCGAAGCAGCAGCGGCGAGGCCCTCTACGAGGCTGCGGTGGTCAGGGACCTCGGCACAACTCCCCGGCGCTCCCCAGTTGACCCCCGGTTCATCCAATTGTCTCGCGCGGCGGTCCCGGGATCTCACACGAATCCGTGGAGGGTCGAGCAGCTGGTCGTGGTCTAACGAGAGGTGCTATGCTTCCTCGGGTTATTCCCAGTTGGCTTGACGTTGCTGCATCACGCCAGAAGGTTTGTTGCCGTGATGTTGGCCACAGAACGGGCAGCCACTCAGTGGGAGTGCATGTAAGTGGACCCGCTGTTGCTCGGAGGACGCTGTCGATCTGGACGTCCAATTTTTAAGGGTGGCTTGCTTGATGCCCAGACTGGCGCGAAGTACTCATGGCTGGAGAACACGAGCGGGAGACTTTCTGGTGGCGGCCCCTCAAAGTTGTGACAGCCAGATGTTGAATTAGGTGCCCCTCTGCTTTCTGGGCGGGTTTGATTTCCCATCGCAGCCCCTTCGGTTGGCCAAATTCTCACAACGTTGTGCACGTGGTCTAAAATGACAAAATAGCCCCACGTAAGCCGTTCCCTTTCGAGCTGGCGGCCTGGAAATGACCCGAGAGCTTTTCCACGACGCCGCGGGCGCGTTGTGGAATCCACGCGACCCCCACCCCAGTGGCAGCAGCAGCAGCAGCGTGGAGCTGCGTGGAGCTGCCGGGTCGCGATGGGCCACACGGAGGCGCTGCGGTCGCCATGAGCAAGATGGCCGGAGTGGACTTGTCTGCCTGAGCCTCCACAGCCCTGATTAATGACAACAATTTCGAGTGGACGAGGCACCGGAACGATCTCGAGACTCAACGACAGATCGCGCGCCGCTGTGTGAGAACAGCTGCCACGTCAGTCAGCTACAATTCTGACTTTCCAAATCACTGCCTCCACTCTCCTCTGTACATTTGCCGAGATTCCAGCCATGCTCCGTCTGCCGCTCGCAGCCTCATCGGCGGTGTCTCCGTCCACTCCCACCCGGCAGTCGCCTGACCCACTTCCCGGCATCGCATTCCAACGCTCTCCAGTTGTCCACCGTGCGCAGGATGCAATCTGCCATAAATCTCGGTAGCCTTAACGCCCACTCGCCAGGCACGTAATCGCAGCTCTCTGCTAGAAACAGCGCTCCCACCTCTTATGTTTAACTGCGCACGCGGAGATGCGCACTGCCTACGCGAAAGCGCTCCGCCTTTATCCAAACCAGCAAGCTCCAAAGTGACTGAACGTGTGGCCGTTTTTGTCCTTGAGGCCACAAACTCGAGAGAGGTCAAACGTGGCCGTCCCTCTAGCATGCCCCGGCGACGCAGAGACACAAACCGTCCCTCACATCTGTAAGATGACGAGGAAGGAAGGGCCCCCACAAGACGCGCATCAGCCACCTTGGTTCCCGACGTAGCGCTGAACGATTTGGGGAAAATTTCAAATTGCGATTTCTCTGACAGATATTGCGATTGCGATTTGATTTGCGATTCAAATTTTTAAGTGAAACTTCAGTTCAATATTCACCGTGTAATAGATTTAAAACATGTGATGGAGCATTACCACATGATACCATCAAAATATGAACTGCTCCATATATATTCTAATGCAAGGATGAGAACTTAAAATATATGAATTTCTTCCAACATTTTTTTTATATTGAAATAGAACAATCAAACATAGACCAATTGTTAAGTTAAATAAATAAAGTTATATTCATTAAAAAAATCCAATTACAAAGTAATAGGACTTTTCAAATCGCAAAATATCGTAGGCTTTGCGATTTGCTGATCGCATTCTTTCAAATTGCGGCGTCCACAGAGCGGTGCAGGTCACGCGGCACAAGCGGCGCCTGGGGGGGGGGGGGTCTCCACTCGCGTGTTGCCGCGTAACAGACGGCTTCATCATCAACATCGACAACAATTGTTGTTACTAGCGCTACTACTAGCGCTCTCAACACAGTTTAGTTTGCGTCTTTCTGGGGGATTGAATGAAGAGAGGGAGGCATCGCTTCTTAAAAAGTCAGTTCCAAGAGAGCGATTTTGTTTGCTATTGTACGTGCCGTAGGCAATGTATCCTCACATATAACTTGCAGGCCTTTTGTCAGTCCACTGCTGGATGAAGTCCTTCGTACGCCGTGTCTGTCATTGAGGTTGTTTGACCATACTTCACCATACTGGTTAGTCTGGGTGGGTTAGCGAGTGGGGAGGGGGGGGCAAAGCTGGTCCATATATCACTGCTGATGTGAGCCGTGGCTGGGGCTCAAACTCAGGTCAGCGGGGTATACGCGCAGTGCACCAACCTGTGCCACTCCTCAAGCAGTCGCACAAACACTCGTGTGGGTGAAGTGCGCGATTTGACATAAACGCCGTACCTTATCCTGCTCTACGCAATACAGCAGTTTTGTGCAGCACAGTACACATTTCATAATTTACACTCTCAAACATAAACCATTCGTTTTTCAAACATTGCCGTGTTTAAGCGATTATAATGAATACAGCTTGCATGGTGGGGACAACGACAGTGGTGGTGGTGATGGTGCTGACGGAATCGATGGACTGAGAGTACGTGGCAGCTGTAGCTGCGTCACCGTTCATATCGCACGACCTACTGTGCTCGACTCCCATTCGGCAGGACGTGAGTTCACATCCCGGATGGAGGTTGACGAAGGGTCATCATCCCTCCAGAGTCGATGATATCTCTTCCCCTCTGTGAGACGCCAACGAATGTAGTCCCCCGTCCCCGTCATGGCCACGTGGAAATTCCAACATTGGCTCACGTCCGTCAATGGAACGTGAGCGGGTTGGTCACCTTCACATTCTCAACAGTCGTATTAAAAATAACAATGCGTATTCAAACATTATTTCAATCATCGCATCCGCTTGATTGCTGCTCTTATCCCATCGTGCATTCCTGTGCCACCAGCCTTCGCTTCCACCCTCCCAAGCGTGGGCAGCGTATTACCAACGAGCCCATCGCCACGACAGAATCCAGCTCCGCGTGTCGCTCCGACGGAGCAGAATGGAACTCATTAAATATCCCAGACCCGCATTGCTACAGCGCCGTTGGTGCCGGTGCACGGACATTTCATTTAAACTTCCAATTTCGCGAAGGGGCATTGGTGGGGTTTTTTTTTCCTCCTATTTTCTTCCCAGAGCCCTCGTACACACCACTCGGCCTCCCCCACCCCGCCTCGACGAGACGCCCGCTGCAGTGAGAGGCAGGGCTGGCATAAAGCTCCTGTCAAATCCAGCCCCAACGGGGGGGCCTTGGTCGTAAGGTGAGGGCCCCCCAGAGGCATTAGGCTTTCAGGGTGATAAGCAGCGTTGCTATTATTATCGATTAGGAGTGCAGAATCTGAGGTGTATTGTCAGCAATATATCTAATGCCATATCACCTATTGCAAGCGAGCATGTTTAATATGCTATAGGAAACAGTACTTTAGTAAGATTCTATTTCGTGTGACGGCCACATCACAGTTGAGGCATGTTTATGTGACTGGTATTCGTGACCCAAAACAAAGTTTGTAATCCGTTTAAATTACCCGAGTAGTAATAATGGCAGGGGTTTTGGAAAGTTATTTTTGTTGGCGGCAGACCAAAGTATTGATTTAGTGCTGTTATAAAAAAAAGTCTGAATAATGCTCGAGCTTATACACATGATTATCATCTCAGTTGGGGTTCCTCAGCTAGTAGCAGTAATTCCGCAATATTATGACGAGGACCAGTCTAGCCACAAGGCAACCATCATTGACTTTTTACAAAATGACATTACATATTTTTGATAAACTCTGCAGAGATGCTAGTGACGAGCTGAGTTGACGTCTGGCCAGGATTGGAAGTCACAGCCTTTAACATAACAATGAGGTGCTTTGCTACAGATCTCCAAAGATGGAAATAACAATAATAAAGAGGTCATCATGGCTAATGCAATTGATGCTGCCTTGTCTTGCAACCACTTCTTTTTCATAGATCTTGCAGTTGTTGCAAAGTTGATCTTCGACTCCCAAGATTATGCTCATAGTTTCCCATGATCTGGCTTCAGGTCTTCCCCTTGGCTGTGGTTTACCACCCTCTGGGTGCTTTTCCACTGCCTCCCTTTGTAAATTATATTCCTAGAGTCATAACAAGCCAAGGATGTTGCGGCAGTGGGTGTAATGGTCGGCACGCTGGGCTTGCAATCCAGAGCTCACCGGTTCCTTTGGCGCTCCTGGTGCGGCAGCTGAATCGATGGGGCAACTTCCCTTAAATCCTCCACCGCCTCCATCCACCGAGCGATATAGATGGGCACATAGCAGTTTGTCGAATGGCAGTTCACATGTGGCGTTGAAAAGTCTGGGTGCTCCCAACGTTCCCAAGACATCTGGTCAGCATGGAAGAGTATGCCAAACATCCTCTTGAGCTCCCTGTAGCAGAGTTCCTTCCACCAGCAGTGGCACGGGCAAGCAGTTGCAGATCTACACCTTTACCAGCATCTAATAATAAGGCGCACCCACCCCTCTGTGCCTGGCAGGAGGAGCAGTCGATCTTCCTGCAGTTCGGCGCCACGGTGCAGCAGCAGTCGCGCGTCATCATGCGCATCATGGAGGAGTACGACTGGAACAGCTTCTCCATCATCACGACGCACTACGCGGGCTACCAGGACTTCATCCACCACCTGCACGTCACGGTGGAGAACAGTTTCGTGGGCTGGGAGCTCGAGTCCATCCTCACGCTGGACATGTCCGAGGAGGACAGCGACATCAAGACCAAGGCGCTGCTGCGCAAGGTGCAGACGCAGGTCATCGTGCTGTACTGCAGCAAGGCGGAGGCCGTGCACCTGTTCGGCCTCGCCGAGAACGTGGGCCTCACGGGCTTCGGCTACGTGTGGATCGTGCCGGGCCTGCGTCCCAGTGCCTCCAGCGAGGTGCCGACGCAGTTCCCCGTGGGCCTGCTCACCATCACGTACGACGGCTGGCAGAGCAACCTGCCGCACCGCGCCATGGAGGGGGTGGCCGTGATCGCCATGGCCGCGTTCAACATGTTCACCGACCTGGGATACGTCCCCGACAGCAAGCTGACGTGTGACGACACCTCGGTGGTCAACGCCAGCGTGTGGGAGACGTACTACGCGTGAGTACGCGCGGGCGCTCGGCGTGGCGACAGTGGTGCCTGTTGCCGCGGTGGAAAGGTCGCGAAGCTTCACCGGCAATAGTTGTAGAAGGGTCCTGCCACTGAATATCACGTAAATTAAAACTATTAAACGATAAACTATTTTTTATTTACCAGGTAAGGCCCGCTGAGCTGTATCGCTTTTTTTCAGAAGCGACCTGGCCACAAATGATAGCTCAACGATGTGGCTTATCTCGTGTAAATGTATAGCTGCCAATTACTCTTAATGCATGCTTCTAAATGTGGTGGGAAAAACTGGAGGACCCTGAGAAAAACCCACGCGACCACGGGGAGAGCATGCAAACTCAAATTTACAGGCTTCAGGGTCGGGCTCGAACCCACGGCTCCTGTATACCAGGCGAGGTAGTGAACATCTCATCATCGCAGCGCCCTGTGATTGGCGTGCCGTTTTCTATCGTGGACAAATACAAGGAGTTGGCCTAATCTGGTCGAGCTGACAATGTGATATTTGCTCGACCTAGTGGGCAATTGCGACAGCAACTTCCAATCAGATCGTAAGCAGAGGCCGCACGGCTACCCGAGGTTGTGTGCTCTGTTGACCAATCATATTTCACCAAACACTTTCATTTTAATCAAATGATGTTTCCATTGGCTATACATAATTCCATCACTGTCATTTGCTCTACAAAAATATTCGCAGTTGCTCACAGTGATTACTTTGCCCGTGACGATTTCCCTAAGCCCTATGCTAATATGCTAAAATTCAAGTTATTGTTTCATCCTTTATGCACCTGGGAAATTCAGTAATTGGTGAAGATTGTAAAAGAACGACAGTACTTTTAGAAGTCTTGATGGTTGTATTCCTACAGACACCTGCTCATCTCTCTCTGGTGTGACCACTGCACATCTTGTGAGAGGTGGCGTGAATGTTGAAGAGCCTGTACAGTCGCTGATAGGCAATATATGTTTGGTAATTTTGTATTCTAAATCATACAGTTTAAAATCATACGCCAACAATTTCGAATATGCATCAATGTATGTTGAACTTCTTTTGCACAGTACGTAGCCAACCGTGCTAATTGGAGGGGCAGGGAAGGACAACAAAATGAATGCATCGTAGTAATGTATTGTCTTCTGTCGGTCCACTGCGAGAATGACAATGTCCCCATACTGTGTCAGTCAAAGGGGTTGGTTGACCATACTTGACCACAATAGTGAGGGGGGCGGGATGTCACTCGCCACCGCTGTTAGCCTTGGCTCGAAGTTCAACTCACCACTGTTGCACCACGTCAACCCAGTGATATAATACCTGTCCTGATGCACAAAGGGTAATTATATTGTCTGTGGCCTGGTGCAGAAGCAAATTAAAGCACCACTCCTTTAAAAAGCCAACCTTGGACTTTGTGATCTCCCTCCAGCTTACGAGAGTCCTGGTTCATCCTTGCCTTGGAAACATACAGAATGAATCTCAGTAGACATTTGCTTTGTCAAATTAAGTGCATTGGGATTAATTCAAAGAAATCAATTTTTTTTTGCTCAGTGATTTTTTTTCCTATCACGACAAACAGTGCCCTCTAAGCGGACGATGCCATTTGAGGAAGCGCTCTCAACAATGCCGACGGTGCCGACAAACACCGCTGCATGTGACACCGTTTACATACATCAGTCAACTCCAGCCAAGGGAGCCCTGTTAATTGTTCGCATGATAGCCGTCGAGAAACGGCAATCAGTTACACGTGCAATATTATTCACAATAAAGGTTTTTTTTTGTGGTTCTATCGCATAAATATAAATGTGTGTTTAACCCACCACCGCCCGGCACAGCCAATTGGTAAGGTTTAATGCGACTCAAAATATGTAGGACAACTGCTGGGAGACCCAGACTTAGCTAAATACTCGTGATTAGCTGAATACTCGTGATTAGCTAAGGCGGCTCGCAGCGCCTGCGCGGATTTCTTCTGGCCGTGACTCAACCGCCGGGCGCGCTCATGAGGGGGGGGGGGGGCATTGGAGGTGCAGCACCGTCACCCGGCCTCCGTGCTCTCAATGCAATCACTGTATTTGGTGAAAGGCGTGGGGGGTTGAATGGTGGCTGTCGGGGCGTGCTTGTACGAGAGGCATGGAGGCAGCGGCGGGTTTTTGTTACCGCAGCACCACGCCACTCGATCTGCATGCTGCACTCCGTTGTGAAGCTCAAAGCGTAGTCACCCTCATCATCCTCATCATTGTTCATCGCCATCACGATGGCATTTCTCATGGAATATTGTCGGGGTCGCCCAACCCTACTGACCCCCTCCCTCCACCGCTTTCCACCCATGAAAAGAAGGGAAGAGCTTTCCGGAGCTCCGGCCCCGGAAAGCTCCAGTGGAGATTAAGCCCTGCTCGTCGTCGTCGTCTTCATCATCATCATGACCACGATCCATCACAGGGAGGCACTCATCCAGCACGAGTTCGTGACACCAGGCGGGGCTCGCATCGCAGCTGATTCGCAATCAGCGGCGTCTCGCGGTGTTTTTCTCGACGACCCCCCCCCGATCCACCATTTAAATCGAGGTGCGGCAAATCATAGCGCGCGTGCACGTGTGGATGCATCACGCAGCACGGTCCGGTCGCCTGGATACTGCGTCGGCAGTGAGGAGCATGCACAAGTGGCACTTGAAGTGCCGAACACTGCGCATCACGCCACCGTCTTGCGGTGGTTTTCATTTTGTTCCCTCCGCACGACTTACTGATGCTGCTCGCCTCTGCATTCGTAATGCTCAAATGTGATTCCGTCCAGTGCATATTAAGCATTTGCAGCGAACTGCCGGGATCCAGACACCATACACACAAATTGTTTTCTGCCTTTCTCAATCCGCTAATGGATGCAGGCCGCCCCATACAATGTCGGCTCGTGGCATGGGTGGGGTTTCGCCATACTTCACCACGCCGGTCTCTGTGCATTGGTGAATGGGGGAGGGCAGGACTAGTTCTAATATCACTGGCCACTGATGTGAGCTGTGGCCAGGCATTGAATTCAAGGTCGTTGGGTTCACAGAGCAGCACGCTAACCAATGTTACTACCGTCTCACCCGTAGATGTACGGGGGGGGGGGATACTCACAGGCATGGCGTGGACGATGGTCTAATTTGAACAGCAGCACCGTTTGTCGTGCTTTTCTCGTAAATTTCCCTCTCGCTAAGATTTTCTCACGATGTTCGGCAAAGCAAATGCTACGTAATGCAATGACCCCAATTGCCCGTGGGGCAATTAAGCAAAGTCGCACGTCGCTTTAACCATGATTTAACGAGCGCGGTGATTGTTCTGTTAAATATGCCGCAGTCGGTTCAGGAGACGTTGCCGAATGTCGGTGCGCAGCAGGCCCACAACAAAGCTCGTGCTTTGGAAGACGGCTGAATGTGCCGACAAAGCAGCGCTCTCTTCGCTTGCCACTGCGTGCCCCACCGACTCGAGTGGCCTGGAAATGGGGGCATCTCAAGTATGCCCAACACCTTATGTAACGGCCTAGGATTGACGGCAATTGTGCATTAACATTTCAAGATTCATGGAGTGAAGAATACAACTCACATTTCACACAGCTCGTCTCGGTGGAGTTGGAGACATGTTGACTCGATAGATTCAGATGCCCCTCCATCGTTTTCATTGCACTTATTGTATTTTTTCTCGCTTTGCAATTATTTCAGTAACGGAGGAAAGCAAGAGTTACCTTGATGATGATGAACGATGAATGACATCTGGGTAGTTCACTGCACACCTGGCATCAGTCGAAAGTGCTTTTCAATTCTGCAAGTGCTGTCGATAAATCATGAATACAGGTATTTAAATAACGTTCATGTTTCTAAAGCAGCACGGTTGTTCAAATCTCACTCCAAACGTATCATTTCCTTGAGCTATAAAATAATTTACTTTACATATGAAATAGCATATTTACTGTATATTCATAGCAGGAAGCAGTGGCACAGTCGCTACATCACTCGGCTATAAGCCCCTAGCAAACTCAGCATGGTTCCAGGCCAGAGCTAAGATATGGCAAGTGAGATCTCAACCACCACTTCACTGACCAGGGTAGTGAAGTATTGTCTAACAAACCCGTGACCTTTACCCAGCAATGTATTGACACAGGGCTGGGAAGTATTATACTCACTATTATTATTGTTGTGTACACGTAGACCCTCAATTGAAAGATTGTGAGTTCGAGTCCCATTCAGGATTCACTCAGCCCGTCGCACCTCTCATCATCATCATCGCCATCATCAGTCCCTTACCCACAGGGGTCATTGTGGTACAAGTCAGGCTTTGGCAATCAAATTCTCCTCCCCGCTCGCGGTCGTTTGCAATCTTCCCAGCATCTGAAGCTGGTCTCCCCTTGCACTGATGAAATAAATATAACCTTGTTGGAAGTCAACACTGATTTCCAATGGAGAGGCTGGCCGCTCACCATGGGAAAGTGGAATTTCCACTCCTGACTCAGGGCCATTAATGGAAGATGCGCCATCGTCACGACGCTTATTGAAGCGGGGGGGCGACATAACTCGAGTACAGTATTAATTTAAGATAAATTATCTCGGAACGTAACAAGGGTGGTGGTGATGGTGGTGGTGCACGGTTTAAATCGCTCAGTTCTCGACGGCTTGAAAGTACAGGTGAAGTTAATTATACAAACGGCATTGTTCAATGTATTCTCTTGCTACAGATATCTTAGTAATCACGTGGGTGCTGTAACGCCTTAATGCTCGAAGCGTAGTGTTCTTGAGGACGAGAACTGGTAATTATGAGAGTCGATTGCTAAAAAAATCAACATGAATGTATTTTTAAAATGTATCTGCCACACCAGAGACGTGGACTGACTTGGCTCTTTCCCCAAGATCAGGGAGCGGTGCTCGGCCTAAGCAAACGAAGCAGAGGCTTAGGCCCCAGATTCATAAACACTGAGGGATTTGCCAAATATCAGTTCAAATATAATCAAAAAACAATTCACAGAAATGCATAGTTCATCTTTC